AGTTTTCACTGATTGCTAAGCTTCAGACCCAGAGGACCACTTGTTACTGACTACTAACTACCACATCTTTAAAAGATCATAAATGCCCAGGAGCTCACACTCCTTTGACGTTTATCTTAATGGTGAAAATATGCACACGAGTAGTTTTAATAGTGTACTGGTGTTAAAAATGTGCATATATCTACAAATATAGTCATATTCCGTATATAGGCATGACTATTCTCAGTCTTCCAGTATGGCATTATATATCCCTTATTAAAGTTGTGTTAACACATAAGATTAGAAACTAGAAGGCCCTTAAAAATTCATGGAATTTGAGTATTCACAGATGGAGAGATTCTCTGGGCTTGATCAGTACAGAAAAATACATCATACCAGGGTAGATCTTTGAAGCAAACCTTAGGAACCTAGAGAGAAAAGCAGTTACTACTCAGTTCTTGAGGTGTTTGGGACAAATAATACTAAAAATCACTAAGTACACTAATTGTTATCAGTTTTCATATTGAATATTAATCTTTTTTCAAATTTCTATTTAGTATAAAATCTTTCTACCTGTAAAATTTGACTTTGCAAAGTGAAGGTATTCTTGGTGCAGTGAATTACACTGAGGAAGTGTACTTTGCCTAATACTCTGATAGGACTGAATTAAGTAGATCTGATGTTTGGTATATCCAGTTTAGAAAAGCTGTATGATATCTACTTTATGGGATAATAAAACTTTCACTGTTTATACTCGTTCATCACAGAAGCCATTCAGTCAAATTATGCTATTCTTATATTGTGAATGGGTGATACTTCCCAAGATTTTGAGGACCTTATTTTAAATGGCTACAAAACCATAAACACTATCTTCTAGGAAATGAATGCATTATACTTTTACTGTATTTTTCCCTAATAGGTTGGGTGACAGAATACCATTTGAAGGAGCAAGTGAACCTGACCAAGTTTCATTTAAAGCAGACACTGACATCTTGCAGAATGCATTAGATGAAAATGACACACCCTATTATGATGTATCTAGGTGAGTTTATTTTTATTGAGTTTTATTTTAGAAAAACAAATGTTCGAATTTTTTCTCACCATGAAACTATTCCTACAGCACAGTACTTCACTCAGCCTAATTTTTTGCCGTTCTCGTGAGCTGTTTATGACTTTCACGTAGAAAGGTTGTGACAAGCCAGGATAAACACACCATTCACTTACATTCTGTCGCACATAATCTTCAACACCACAGATTGAATGTACCAAGCCTGTTAAAACTACAGCATTTAGGATTCTGTGATGGAGTAGGGTTAGATTCATCTGTATGTCTAATAGAACTGTTTGTCTAGAGCAGCATTCCAGTACAGACCTACTAGCTCTGCACTGAGGACAACATATAAAAGCTTCCTCATTGGAATGGAAAAGTTGGTTAATAGGCCCTAAGATCCGCCCTATCTCAAGAGATTTTGTTTCCAAATATTTTGGCAGAAGAGATAACAGAAAGTATAATTGGTTTGTGAATTTGCCAAACTCAGGCTATTTTCCCATTGCGTATATCTTTATTCAGGATAGCAAAAGTAAAGCACTATAAATAAATAGAAACTAACTTAAAGATTCTACCAGGGAGCGATATTAAAATATACTTCTAAAATAGCTGATTTCTTTAAATTTTCAAAGTTTTGGGCTAGAAATATAGAATATATCTTGATATAGAAAATATCTTTTGTGAGGGTGTTAAGAAGCCTTTTGGACTTGAGTTTTAATGAGAAGCTTTCATAATAAGTGAATAAGTTTTTCTGTTACTTAATAAGCCAAAATAATATTCTAGGAAGTCATTTACAAAATAATAGCTATCCTTTCTTCCTTATTTTAGAAATGCCAGACATGCTGATGGAGTTTTCACCAGTGACTTTAGCAGACTTTTGGGTCAACTTTCTGCCAAAAAGTACCTTGAGTCCCTTATTGGCAAACGAGTTAGGTAAAGAGAATTTATTATTTTTATCAAATGTGTTATTACTCAGTTTGCAAATTATATTTTCACTCTTAACATGTTATTTGCCTTGTTCAAAATTGATAACTCTTTGATAATGTTTAATTTAGATAAACAAAGTAATTTGTACTCTTGAATAAAATATACCAGGCCCATGGATTAAAGAAATAAGGCTTTTTAGTAATATACTTGACTCCAGACACACTTACTTTTCTTAAGTAGCAATAATTTGCAAATCTGCAATTAAATTGAACAAGACAAGGTAAAACATAAATAAGAAAGAGTATAAACTGAAGCAAATTCTAAGGCCAACCGTGATACTTGCATTTTGCATCTTGTCAAACTAAGTGTTGGAGGATTCTTTCTTTAAATGGCCAATTGTTGAATATTTAGATGACACTGCTCAAGGTAGCTCAGCTTTTAAAAAGCATTTATTTATTTATTTTAAATTTCTCCTAATTGCAGAACACAACTTCAACTATTCCCTAATTTGATTGTTTTGATAAATTATTTGCTCAGTTAGTACAGAACATGTCTGAAAGCAGTCTCAGGTAATGTCAAGGTATGAAGGTACTTCAAAAAGCTTGTGGAAAAATAGAATTAAAAGATAACACAAATCTATTTATGAACTTTTTGAAGTACACTCATATGTTAAATTATTCCTTGCTCCCCTATCCTTAGGCTTAACTGTATTTTTCTTTTAGCCTTTTTGTGACAGAAAATGAGTTAAATGTTGGAATTCCTTTTTATCTGACTCTGAGAAATTTGAAACATTGATGCATTCACCATTTCTTGTTAAAACTCTTTGATTTCCTTTTTCTCACATCTCTTAGTGCCAACATCTCTGAAGACCCTGTACCAATCAAACGTCACTCAGATGCAGTCTTCACTGACAACTATACCCGCCTTAGAAAACAAATGGCTGTAAAGAAATACTTGAACTCAATCTTGAATGGGAAAAGGAGGTAAAGAAAAAGAGAACTTTCTAATATAAATGACTTTCAATTATAAATGACTTCAAAACTTAAGCTATGTATGGAGACCTATCTATCTCTCTATCCCCCTATTTATCTATGCTATGTGGAGCAGTCATTCTCAACCTTGGCTGACACTGGACTATCATGGAGAAGTTTTAAAACACTGATGTCTGGGCCTTACCCAAAAACAATTGCCAAGAAATCAGTGCCCCTGGAAATGAGGCCCTAGAACTGGTGTTTCTGAAGAGCTCCCCACTTGATTCTACTGTGTTGCCGAGGTTAAAAATGATGACTGTAGAGACATCTAGTCTGAATCTGGGAGTAGGTTTTATCAAAAATGCTAATTTTTAAAACACGTGAGGTGTAATCAATTAGCAATTTGGTAATACATGGAACTCCCTTCACGTGGTATTCAGTACCTTTATTTTATCAAATTAAACCATAAGGTATTTTATGTAGCTAGATTCTGTAAAACTTATCTCTGTGGTGTGTAAATATTAGATACAATATTGCTCTTTTTTAATTTCAGTTATTTATATTTACATGGTGAGTATTAAGGAAGATTCTGTTTGGGTGAGATCAGACAAGATGACTTTCTTTGCCCACTAAATTATAGTTCTTTATGAATAAATGTAGACACTAAGATTGAGAAACAATTTACAGGTAATAACTAACCTCAAAGATAATTGTTTAGCCCCGAGTGCGCTTTACAGAGCACAGGGAACACCTTAGTCATTATGTCTTCATTGCTTCTTTAGAGCTTTTCTCATCTAAGAGCTTTAAAGTGCACAATTTTTTTTTTCCCATCTGCAGCAGTGAGGGGGAATCTCCTGACTTCCCCGAAGAGTTAGAAAATTGATGAAAAAGCTCTTTGGAGAAAAGCTGATGACGACTTCCCAATGGTGGGTATATCTGTGCATTCTTACTATATTCTCATACCGGTCATCTAATTATGTAAGTAGGTAAGAGTTGCTTGGTAAAAAACATCTTAGGGTTAAATAATTTCCACCATGAGACCTCATCTAAGTAGGCACCAACCCAGTAAGCAGCTTAAAATGATTCACACAATGTTCTGATCACATAAAAGAGAAAGCTCACAATGAGCAAACAGTTTGGTATCTGAATGGTACTCCTAATTTACTCAGACTAATTCCTACCCTTGTGTTGAGATAAAAAACAGAGGAGCCTGACTCACACTCACGAGAAAAACTGGCTTGCTTTCTGAGAATCAAGCCATGCTGCTCACATTAAAGTAAGGTTCAATTCCACAATTGATTGTCAGCACCACACTTAATTTAAGTACAGGGAGATACCACCAAATTACAGCAAACCTCATTATTATGAACTACCAAGGCACCCTGGGTCTAATTGTGTTACTTGAAACATAGCAAACTTCATGCAGAAAAAGTCAAATTTAGCTTGTTTTACCTAAAAATTGACTGTAGGTATTATGGCCCCAATAGTATTCAATGTAAATTATTTTTTGAGTAGAGAAAACATGTGTACGTTTTTTCCTTTGTGAAATGATAAGCTTGTTACCAAAATTGCTTTTATATAAATGTATGAGTCATATTTCTTTTCTGAGTTATATTATATTAATGTTTATGTTAGCTCATAAAAATCTATTTTTTTATGATTTTTGCCAAGTATTGAAAAGAAATTTCATGTCATCACCATATCAAAGGTCAGCAAATTTTTCTCTAAAGGGCTATGAAGTAAATATTTTTGGCTTTGTGGGCTACATGGTTTCTGTCACACCTACTTAACTGCTATTGCAGCATGAAAGCAGCCACAGATAATATGTAAAACAAATGGAAGTGACTGTGTTCCAATAAAACTTCATTCATAAAAGTGAAGGTAGGCCAGTTTTCAATCCTGACTAGGTCAAGGAAATTAAATGAGCCCTATGCTCAGACTAAAGGCAATTCATAGTCTTACTTTAGCTCCCAGTGTGGTTATCTGAAGTTTTCAGGAGAGTCACCAAGAGTTGACAGGGTGTCTGAGAACACATCTGACTGATTGATGGCTTTTGCCACAGATTTCCTCTTAACCTCTAAGAGAGAGTCAGGGGTGCTGCTCACACCAGTTCCTTACCAGGTGTAGACATTTCAGAGAAACAAGTCCCTTTGCTTAAGGAAGAAAGTTAATCACATCTAACTTCCTGAAAAAAAATGTTTATAAGAAGAGTCTTCTATATCAAATTAAGAAATACAATAGGCACTAAAATATAAAGGGGGATTGATGAATCATTCCATTCTTTGTAAATTGTAAGATCACTGATAAGATTTCACCTTCCATTCTTCTCTTTTTTGAATGGATAGCTTTGAACAAATTATTTCAACAGGATGTCCTCTGAGTCACCCACTTGTGAAAATTGCAAGTGGATAATCATTAATGGCTAATCATTAATGGCTCACATTCCAGTTCCTTTCTGACAGTCAGTCTTCTAAAATTTTCTCTCTTAATATACCCCAGAACATGATCTCCCATCACAGGCTGTGGTAAAGGAAGAAAAAGGAATTGATGTTTATATGAAATGAATAGATGAATAAATGAAACTAAGATGCTGTAAATAAAAATATTTTTATGCTTAGTACCAATTCTTTCTTTTTCAGAATTCTTGAAGAAAAAAGGTAAACAGTAACTAAATTTGAGTTCTACATGAGTAATTCAAGAAAACGTCAATATCAAAACCAAATAAAATAGTGTTGTGAATGTTGTGATTTATTTTGTTCTAATGTAATAACTGTGATGTTTACATTGTAAATATTATTTGAGAGTTCTAAATTTTGTCTTTAACTCATGAAAAGCCTGTAATTTCATATGCTGTATATCTTTCTAACAAAAATATATTTAATGATAAGTAAATACTATGTTCATTTCAATTACATTAGACTTTTTAAGTAGTAATAGAGAAACATTGATGTGTTTATTTATAGTGTACTTAACTATTCAGAATAGTAGGGTAGATGAGGAGTGTGTCTGAATTTGAATGTTAAACAGATAGAATCCTATGTTAAATAAACTCAAAATGTCTAAAAGTGACAACAACAGAGATCAGAAGACATTCTTCAAAAAAAAAATTTCCAAAAATCTTATGCATTTCCACAGCTATAGACAACATTTATTTTTAATGGGGGTTAAAAATCTCTCAGATTCAGATCTGCAATCACCAAAGGCTTTCTTCTGACGTAGTGCTTCAGTTAAGGAAGACGACACCTACTTCTGACATTAGACCTTCTCTTTGTGTTTGTGTTAAGTATGCGTAAGCTGAATGGAACACTTGATTTGCAATAATACATATTTTTTCCATAATCATTCAAAATAATGCTTTGGTCATATCAGCTTCCTTCAGTGAACGTACATTTGGAGACACACTATTTTTCAAAATGATTGTAAGAAATTAAATATAGAAAATAAAGATCTTTGGTTATCATTGCAGGTACTTTCTTTCGTTTTGATTATTTTAAATGATTCAGCAGTAACTCAGTTTAGTTCTGAAGTTCCAGGCACTAGTTTTTGTGGTGCTTGAGGTAGGATTATATTTCATTGTTGTGTGAGTCCTAAAATAACAGTGATTTCAATAAGAGAGAAATTTCTTTCTCACATAAGGCCAGAAGTAAGATGTCCAGGGTCAGTATGATGGTTCTGCTCCATGAAGCCCTCGGTAATCTACACCTCTTCCAGCTCACTCTTATCTTCTGGTGTGTGGCCCGTCTCTTCACAATCCATAATTTCAGCTAGGCTTCCAGCCATCACATGTGCATTCCAGGCAGCAGGATGGAGGAAGGGGCAAGGAAGGAAAGGGAGCAGACGACACACACTGGCTGCCTTTGAACTGACATCATACACTAACACCCCCTTAAGTAGAACATAGTCTGATGGCCACAGTCATTTGCAAGAAAGGCTGGGAAATGTAAATTTTTTTTTTCCTGTATGGGCATATGTCCAGCTTAAAACTGGGGCTCTACTAACACAAAACAAGAGAAGAATAGGTTTTGGTGGGGACTATTTAAAATCTTAGGCTATGGAGCTTAAATTCTCACTGGAAAGACAAAGAAATGACAAAGAAAGTGAAAGTCAGAGCCTAACCACTAAGGAAGAAGTGTTATTAATGCAAGGCAAGGCTTTGCTACGCTTCGTTTGCTACAGGGAGTATGAATGGCTAAATTAAGGATGGACTAGTCTAGAATTACCAGTGATTGCAAAGCAGTTCACACAAGTTTAAGTGAATTAGACTTTCTGTATCCTTCATTCTTATTTAGTTCCATAATCTATGAAATATTTATTAAGTGACTTTTCTATGAGAAGCACTATAGTGAAAACAGAAGACTTCTAGGTGTTGTTTGTAAATAAGGAGCTTATAAAGATTTAATGTGGCATACTTTGAACATGAAACTAAAGAGTTTTAATTTTATCTCATTAATGTGAATCCTTTCTATTTATTTTTATTCCTTCGAGAAATATTTATTGAATAACTATTATGTGCCATGGGTCTGTCCAAGACAGTGTTCTGGGCAGAGGGAACAGCAAGTGCAAATAGGGAATAGCTTTGACTTACGCAGACAGCAAGGACACCTGTGTGACCAGAGCAGTGTGACCTGGACAGGGACTGAGCAGGAGATGAGGTTACTAAGGACTGGACCTGTGGGGCCTCACTGGCCGCTGTAAGAATTTGTGAAGTGAGATGAAGAGACATTGCAGAGTTTTGGATGAAGGTATGGTATTCTGTGAACTGCATTTTAACAACCTCATTCCTCTATCAAGAATACGGAGACAGATGCTAAGAGTGGCAGCAGGGAGACAAATTAGGAGGCGACTGCTATAAATCAGGTGACAGATGGTAGTGGCTACCAGGGAGGTAGTGAAAAGTGGAGTGTAAATATATCTTAAAAGTAGAGTCAATTTTTTTTGCTGATAGCTTTAAGATATGAAAGAGAAAGGTCAAGAATGATTCTAAGGTAAATCACCTGAATGACTAGAAGGATGGAGTTGCCATTAACTGAGATGGAGAAGACTGGAGGGACAAGTTTCCGGTGGATGATGAGTTTAGTTTTGGACATGTTAAAGCTGATGTTGAGTAGGGAATTGGAGATAAAAATGAAGAGTCCTAAGGAGATGCTGGGCTGGAGATAGACAGTTGGGAGATTTCAATATGTATATGGGATTTAAAAGCATGAGACTGGATGAGATCACTAAGAGGCTGCACATAGCTTAAAACAAAATTCAACACGTGATTCCTGGGTGTATTCATTTCCTAGGGCTACCATAACAAAGTATGGTAGACTGGGTGGCTCAAACACAGAAATGTATTGTCTCCCAGTTCTGGAGTCTACAAGTCCGAGATCAAGGTGTTTACAAGGCTGGTTCCTTCTCAGAGCTGTGGGGAAGTATCTGATCCATGCCTCTGTCCTGGCATCAGGGGATTTGCTGGCAATCTTTGGCTTATAGACGTATCACCTCAATCTCTGCCTTGATCTTCACATGACATTCTCCCTGTGTGTGCACGTTTCCAAATTTCCTCTTTTTATAAGGACACCAGTCGTATTGGATTAGGGCCCATGCTAATAAC